CATACGTGATCTAGCACGTTATGGTAAGTTATACTCGTAGTTAGGTAGCTTATTACTTTTTTTCAATTCAAACATAACACACCCCCCAAGGGGTATTCTGTAGACTAGTAGAAAAACGTGAATTCATAAATTAGAAAAACAAATTAAACAAAGATGAAGAGCCTGATAGGCTAATCAATTAAAATGCGAAAACAATGTAAAATCGTAATTAACAGAAGTAAACGTAAACGGCGCCGGTGGTGTAGTGGTAAGCGTGATTACCTCTCACCCCAGAAGGCCTGGGTTCAATCCCAGTCGGCGCCGCCGGGATGTTCTGAGGCATAACATCTCTGATCACGCCTTCCTTCGGAAGGGAAGTAAAGCCGTTGGTCCTCGGTTCATGAGTTGATGGGTCGATAGGTAGGGTTCAGGTGTGGGAGCTGCCTTCCTGGCACGTCGGTAGCATTGGTGCTCAGCACGGAAAACAAGATCGACAGAAAAAACAAACCAAAGGAAAAAATAAAAAAAAAATAAACGTAATTTTACTACTATTATTTCGTGGTGGAGGAAGTTTCCTCTACCAACAAACAATTTTTGAGTCCATGATGAATGGCTGTTCATGACTATTCAATATGAACATTTAAACAACCGAATTATAAATCTAATCGAAAGCATTTGAAAGTCATCCTATCCTTAAATTGTTGTCCCCTCAGTGCAGTAAGTTTGACAGCCAATTTTCAAAAAAAAAATCATCCTTCATTGGGATGACAGTCATATGGATGCTCTTCAGCTGATGTCAAATTCAACCATAAGGCAATGCAATAATCATTCGAATTATCGCGGATGTTTTTGTTCAGTGTGGTTTGTGCCCAAATTCATGGACCTATAACAATTTTCATTAGAAAATAAGACCATTGCTCTAAATATTTTGATCAGGTATGTCATTTTAAGGACATAATGTTTCATGTTGATGCCAAACAAACAAACTATTGTATGCTACCTATAAGCGAAGACAACAAATCAAGAAGGCTGGCAACTCTTCCATTTTCCCAAACGACCGGCATGAGACAGGCACAATCGCGTCATCTGCCGCTCAAAGGTAAATGCTTCGAGCGAATTTGATAGCAAAGATTACATCCTCAGAAGAAGGGTTTGTGTGCTTATTTTTCTATGCGTTGCTTCCACCTTCACTCAAGCGCACACGAAGACCAAATTCGTTAAGTTAAGATAACAATCCTAATAGTTACTTTCACATGGAAAAGTATTGTTGTTTGAAAGAAACCTATAGTTATTCCAACATTAATTTGACCGTCAAATCAATCATATCTACCTAATAGATTCAACTGTTCATCTTATACTCAATTCAACTATAATTTGATCAATTATAACAACCGTCAAATTAATTTATTTATATAATTTGGTTTCAAGTGATCATCATAAATCCACATACTTTTAACTTGTGATGCGTAGAGCAGGCCATAAGATAGCTGGCTCTCACGCAGATGAAGACGGTTCAAATCTAAGTTGAATGTTCTTGTTCACTTTTTTATGATTTTGCAGTTGTGTTTTTGAGATCGATAAAGAAGCAAAACAAACTTTATTTAATATGTCGATAATGAAGAGCAGTTCGTTTAATGAACATTGTAAAATTTTGCTTTTCTAACAATAGTTTTCTTGAATCAACTAACGCATAGTTGTATTTTGAAGTTTGGCGTTTGTTCATCTACTGAAAAATATAGTTGAGCCAACCGAGGAGCCAACTATGGACTATAGTTGTTGCCCTCTATATATAGTCAAATCAACTATAGTTTCGGGTTATCTCTAAAACAATTGAACAATATAGTTATTTTGACCGGAAAAATAATTGCGTCTGCTATAATTTGTTCTCCGTGCAGTGCTATTGTATCTGTCGCTTGGATTCAGGCAAAGTTGCCAGTCTTCTTGATTTGTTGTCTTCGCTATAAGCTTAACTTTTAAATATTTTTGCTAAGATGTCTTCTCAACAATACACTAAATAAATCCCAGGAATATTACAACTTGGTTATTGCATCCAGAAAATATATCCTTTTGAATTTGCCTACATTTATATAAAAAACTATTCATCATGTGCCTTGGAATGTCATATGCCTTCTAATGATATTTAAGAATACATTGTAAGGATTACTGGAATGATAGTTAATATTTTTATCCAGCGTATTTGAACTAGTGATCAAAAAATGATTCCCGTAGAATATTATTAGAACAATGTTTCAATCAATAAAACTGAAATCATGTGTGTATATTTTAATTGTAATTAGTTTGAATCAAAGTTCGATTTACAACCTACTTCACAACCCTGCTTACAACGACTATTATTTCAGTACTTGAGTATGGCTCTTTTTGCATAATCTCGGCAAGAATCAAATTGAAACGTATTCAATATTATGTATTGTCCTTGGCTGTATGCATTCAACACACAATATGAACCTAGAGGTTCTAGCGGGCGTAAAACCCCTGCAGAACCGTTTCTGGGAGCTCTCATTAAGAGTATTGATCAAATGTAGTATCAGTAACAACCTTGTGATTGAAAACTTCGAAGCAATGCTCGATTTGAGCACCCAGAATAGATTTGTGTGAATCTACCTTAATTATATGTCATCGGATATTAGCCTTCCAAGCTATAACCCCCCTCGTGTATGCTTTACTAACTAAAGTTCCCCCATTGACTATGATCTCTTCATGAAATAGGCTATTCAAGGAATTTCAGATCAACTTTGACCTATCTCAATTCCCAGTATTTTTGCTGAAAAGTTTCAAAGATTTTTCACTGATGGATCACGCATTCATGGATCCACTGGCTTCGGCATCTTCAATGAATACTCAACCGCCTTTCGGAAACTTCAGGAACCTTGTTCCGTTTATGTTGCTGAGCTAGCAGCAATCAACTTCGCATTGGAGATGATTTCCGACATGCCCACAGACCATTACTTCATCTTCTCGGATAGTCTCAGTTCGATTGACGCTATTCGGTCGATGAAACAAGGTAGGCACTCATCTTATTTCCTTTCAAAGGTAAGGGAGCAGATGAGTTTGCTGGTCGAAAGATTATATAGGATTACCCCTGGGTCCCCTTACATTGCTCAATCCCTGGCAATGAGCAGGCAGACTCTCTCGCAAAGGTGGGCGAGATTTATGATAGAAGAAATTCACATGATGAATTTTTCCTATTAGTACGAGTTCTCTTCTAAGTTGGCTAAACGATTGGACAAGTAATTCTCTTGGGCGGTGGTTACATTCCATTACTTCAAATTTTTCTTCGAGAGCGTGGTTCAAAGGTCTGGATGTAAGTCGGGGATTCATTCGCGTGATGTCAAGACTTATGTCCAACCACTACTCGCTAGACGCACATCTCTACAAAATAAACCTCGTTGACAGCAATATATGTAGGTGCAGAACCGGTTATGATGACATCGATCACGCAGTTTGGCATTGCCCGGGTAATGACGCCTCCAGAGCACGTCTATTGGATACCCTAGTGGCCCGAGGTAGACAACCCTTCCGTGAAGTAAGAGATGTATTGGGAACCCGTGATCTTCCCTACATGCAGGCGATCTAAGAATTCCTTTGTTTGTCTGATGTTAGAGTTTGAGGTGGTCATCCTCTCCTTTTCACACATTTTCCAGCCATTGTATCCCTGTCTTATTATCCACCTGTTTCTGTACTATTTGCCGCTGCCCAGCCAGTATTTGGTCAACCGTTCGAGAGTAGTACACAGCAAAAAATAAATTTTAATATCACATCCAAGAGGATGCACTTCAATCATGTCGAAAATCACATGTAATTTTTATGGCCACAAAAATAAAGAAATGCAGTAAAAGCAGCGTAATGTCAGTTATTAATGATAATTTTGTCCTTTTTGGCAAGTAATATTACACCATATTTCCAACACGATTGAAGTACATCCACTTTGATGTGATATTATATAATTTTTTTGCTGCGTATCTGAAGGAGGGTTCAGAAACCAGTTTCCTACCTAGCTCCTTCCAATTGAAATTGTTACCTATTAACCTCGAGCCCGTCACGAGTAATGGATACCCAATACTAATTACTTTACTGCTGTTTAAAATGTTAGTTAAAGAATTACGGATTTTTGGCTCCGCAAAGTGTCACACATGACTGAGCCTAGTAAATAAACAAACTAGTTAAAAAACCCTGCTTACAATACACTTGGCTTAAAAATAGAACCCACAGAAAAAAGTCACGTTATCGTGAAATTCAATTCTAAATTCCATCCGCTTACTCTACAGAGGGGGTTTTGAACTTCATGAGTGATTAGATTGTTCGGTTTGCGACTACCCTCATCCGTTGAATCCACGTCAATGGGATTTCTGAAGAAGTGAAAAAAGTCACCGCATACCTTTGTTGAATTTTCCATGCCACAATGTTAATAACATTGTGTGATTTTTTTTTTTATCTAATTGAGGGTAAATCCACTGTATGTGCTGAAAAAAGCATTGCAAAATGCTTTTAACCATTCAAGAAATCGTCTTTTATTTTCGTTGCATCCATCAGCAGTTGCTTGTTTCGAGAAAAAAAAAGTTCTACATTCCGGTAAAACATCTGTGTTTGACCGCTGCCACTCTCATCTGGACCGTGTAGGTCGTCAGAGAGCAAAACCGTGTAATATTCAACCCCGTGGAGCAAGCATGCGCAATATTGACACAATGAAATACTTCACTCGCGTCGTCGACCCGCTAATAATGCTCACGACCTAGTGTGCAAAAGAGTCACATTCACTTTTACTTTCCATGCTTCCTCTTCTGTCGCAATCATCGGCAATTTACGGTAGCAGACGACGGCGATACAAGATACAATGCCCTTTTTGCACTAGGGGGTATATCGATGTAGAACGCTTTGCTTGCAAGGCCGGAAGGGAGTCAGCCCATCGAGAGTGAAAGTGCTCTCAAAGTGTCGTTCACTTTTCAAAAACCGAAGCTGTGCCAAATTAAATTCAAGTCACTATGATTAATAATTCCACCCACCTGTGCTGGCATTGATTTGGGCGTTCTTCATGAAGGCCGAACCGTGCTGCAAATCCAACATCTCACCCTTCAGCTTGTCGGCGTTGACATCGATCAGGGCCACCTCGCTGGACACACTCTAGACGATAAAGATGGAATTTTACAGTTAGCCAGAGGCGTTCGGGGACCCGTTCGTTACGTCGTCGAGACATACCTGAGTCAAGATACTGAAGGCACATGCCATACCGACTTGACCGATACCGACGATGGTGACCTTGTTGCCCGACGAGGTCATCGGCTCGGCAATTTCCTTCATCAGCTTAGTTTTCACAGACATTGTGGGTGGTTTTCTGGAAATAGTTTTCGGAACAAATTCGACATTTAAGACACTCAATCACAGCTGAAGGTCACTTTCTATCACGGCCTCAAGTGGTTCTATGGGAACATTAAATCATGTCTTTAAATAGTCTTCCACAGTTTGTCTTCATATCTCAAATTTCACCAATATCACTCAACGATATTAGACGAACAAACAAACGCACTTACTTTTATTTGCAATTTACTTTAACTATACAGGAACAAAGCCCTAGGCTCTCTTTAATATTTGTACTGGAGAACGGGAACTGAACAGTTAGACCGATGGAATACGTATGCGAATACGCGTAGCACCGGGCACAGAATATAAGCTGCGAGGCGTTACTCGAGGAGTAGTACATATATCCTCGGTGAAATGATGTTGAAGGTGACCTTTTCCGCTTTCGGCTGTTGTTGCTTGGTGAGAAATGCTTCAAGAGCACACACAAACTCGAGACGCGGTGTTGATGATGACGATGATGATTCAGTCATTATTGGTGGTCGGATCGCGGAAAACAGAGAGAGCCGCACACGCGGTTCCAACTCCCCCTTGTGCCAAGTAAACACTCTCTTTCTCACTTTGAATGTGTTTTGGTTGTAGGGAGTCATCGTCATCATGAATGTTGGTATGTCTCTCTTTCTCTTGCTTCAGTTTCATTGAACAAAAAAAAAAAACGTTTGTTTTGGAATTGATAAACCACCCACCTTCCCCCTTAAAGCGTCGACCGTTAGCAGCGTCGCGTCGTTGGTAGGATGTGAGGGCATGAAACGTTTTCGTTTACTCGCTCACCAAACGACCAAACAGCGTGGCGATGTGAGTAAAGGTGGTGAAATAGGTGGTTTTGTAGAGAGAAGAGAGTTGAAGGCATAGGTCGGGAATGATGAAATTTGAATTTTTGTGTTGTATCGAAAATAGCACTTTGTACTTTTCTTTGATGGGGAGTATTGCGATCGACTAGGTTTGGAGATGCATGTAGCGAGAATAGATTCAAACCCATCTGCGACCACTCAAAATGGAAAAAAAATCACGAACAGAATTGAATTGTTTATAAACTATTGATTTAACTAAAAAAGTGTCTCTAAAGGAATTGTTCACATAAGTATTTCACAGCAAAAAATAAGGAACACTACATGACATGTAAACCAAAACCATTTTAAATTACATCGCTTTAAACTATGTTTTAATTTAATTTTACATTAAAAATCATGCACATAATAAAAACATGATAAAACCCATAAAATTACACGTTTATTCGATTCATTTTCTCTTGAAGTGTAATATCACCACGGGATGTAAAAACTCCGCTCGCTTTGTTTTGTTTTGTGCGCTCAGCTTTGGTTATGTGGAACGATTTATCGTGCATACGCGCGTCCACAAATAGAAAATGGATGACAGACAAAATATTGATTAAAGCGACTGCACTTTTAGCAACAATCAATACGAAACTAACGATTTTAAATTGGCTCCCTACTTGACTAGCCTATTGGTCCCAAGCAAACGATTAACGTGCCCCATTATAGTCGAAATTCTAGTACTACGCAATGTTTGTTTTGATTCGCTATAAAAGTTTGACAGATAAAATGAGGGGTTATTGGTTTTTCCATATATGTTTCGAGGGTTGAATCGATTAGCTTGGGACCGGAGAGAGTACCAGAGCTGAGCCAAAAAGTTGAGCACGTTATTTCGTGACCTTCTAGTCTAGTTCGTGCAGAAAATCAAAAATTTGGATATAGAAAAATAAAAAAAAAACATTCAAATAAGCGCTCGTGATTCATTTTTTCTCCTAAACAGAAAAAAATTCTGAATTTTAATAGTAATGTAAACATTCATTCACGTAAACTTGTATTTCATTTCACGCAACCGAGAAACTTGCAAACAATGTTGTTTACAAAGATGGGCTTTTGTATACAATATTTGCAACATTGTATGAAATATGTCAGAGCTTTACATGATATATAATGTAAACGTATATGATATGTGACGCTCCATTTATGTGCATCATATTGAACAGAAATTTACACTAATTTTTCTAACTGTGTAACTGATCGTTTTGGTGCAGTGGGGGAAGTGTAGGGTATGTACTGTGCTGTGAAGGCGGATTTTTTATTTTTTTTTATTTATTTGTCTGCAGCAACAGGCTGTGTAAAGCCCCAATGATGATTTAAGTAACTTATATAGGTAAATCAAAAAATAAAAACTAAGAATAAAATACATAAATAAAACACACAATCATTCACGGTTAACTGTGCCAGAAAAGAACGATGAGAAGTATCTTCGTAGCAGCTGTCGAGGCATATGGAAATCGAAGATGCCCGAGACTCGATTGAACACTCGTTGCAGCCCACCTATTGCACCGTTCATGCCATAGTTTGTGCGCTGAAGTGGCAATCTCAGCAAAACGTTGTTACGTAGCGCACGGGGTTGGACTTAAATGTTGACTTGCCCCAAGATTGCACTGCAATCAATTCTACCTTGTAAAGTGTCCGCAATGAACAGGGCCCTAGAGGTGTCTCTTCTAGTTCGGAGAGGCTCCAGATCAATCAGCTGGCAACGACTTTCATAGCTGGGCAGATGAAATGGGTCTCTCCAAGGCAGCTTCCGCAGAGCGAATCGAAGAAAACGGCGTTGAACGGACTCAACTCTCTCAGCACCATTGTTGTAGTTTGGACTCCAGACCACAGAACAATATTCCAGAATGGATCGCACCAAGGAACAGTACAGTGACTTCAAACAGTAGATATCGGAGAAATTCTTTGCTATCCTGAAGATAAATCCCAATGTCCTAGACGCCTTGTCGACAACGTACGAGATGTGCTGCTTGTACGTAAGTTGAGAATCTAGAATAACACCCAGATCTTTCACATGGTTCACACGGTCGATTACAGTGCTGATAAGTTTGTATTCAAATGTGATTGGTTCTTTCTTCCGAGTAAAAGTGATCACTGAACACTTAGTGGGGTTAACCACCATTCGGTTCAAATTACACCAGCTGGCAAAGGCTTCGAACTGACGTTGAAGGAAGTGACAGTCATCAATCGAGTGGATTCGTAGGTAGATTTTAAGATCGTCTGCATACGATAGTCATGGGCCTTCGATGACCAAGTTCACGTCATTGAAGTAGAGTAAGAAAATCAAAGGTCCCAGGTGACTTCCTTGAGGTATTCCTGACGTAGCTAGATAGATATTGGACCGGTTGTCACCAATGGCAACCATCAGTTGCCGATCAGTGAGATATGAACGAAACCATCGCAAGAGGTTGTCGCTGACCCCAAGTCTATGCAACTTGGCAATCGCGATGGCATGGTTTAGCTTATCGAAGGTAGCTGACAAGTCGGTGTATATGACGTCTGTTTGAGTCCTCTCTGCCATGCTTTCCGTAAGATACGATGTCAAACACAGCAGATTTGTGGAAGTAGAACGACCGGAAGTGAAGCCGTGTTGATCACCACTTAGATACTGCTAACAATGAGAGAGTAGAGGATCCATGATGACTAACTCGAATAACTTCGAAACTGCGCTCAACGACGTAATTCCACGATAATTGACCACATCCCGTTTGCTGCCCTTTTTGTGGATAGGAAACATATGTGCGAATTTCCAACAAGATGGAAATGTACCACTCGAGATGGACAATCGAAATAGGTGAAGCATGGGCATCAGCAAGCTGGCGATATGCTTTTTCAGGAATACGGATGGAACGCCATCGGGTCCTGGATTGAAGGACGACTTGAGTTGTGATGCGGCAGTGGAAATCATCTCGACGTTGACATCCATCGCACCCAGTGTTTGACCGTACAGTGGAACATTACTAGCTGCTAGGGTAACGTGTTCGTCAGTTAATCTCTCATTCGTGAAAACACTGGCGAACTTCTCAGAAAACAAGCGACAGATCTGCTGAGGAGTGGAAGCAACTGCTCCATTCAACACCATTGAAGAAGGTAGGCCGGATTCCTTGCGCTGCTCATTTACGTAATTCCAGAATGACTTCGGGTGCGACTTGAGTTTCCTCTGAATCCCTCGTTGATATCGCGAATAGCATCGACGGCTAACTCGCTTGAACTCATAATTGAGCCTAACGTAGTGACGTTTCAGCGAAAGCGTACGATACTTAGTGAATTTTCTTAATGTGGCTCTCTTGGTCGACTTCAACCTACGCAGTTCACTCGTCTGCCAGGGAGGATGAGAAATTTTACGATGAACTCTTTTCGGAACGTGCCTGTCAATGACATAAGCCAAGACATGTGAAAATGTTTGCGCAGCGGTTTCAACATTATCAGGATCGAGGATGCTCTCCCAATCTATACTAGATAGCACGTTGACGATACTACGGTGATCGGCTTTCCGGAAATCGTATGACACGGTCGTGGAAATGTCGTCAAAGACCCGATCGTGATTGTCAGCAACAGTGACAACCAAGGGAGGGTGATGATGTACTTGCTTTACTAGTGGAGAAGGTGCCGTGGAGATGAAAGGAGCGGTGTCCTGAACGCTAACGAAGCAGAGGTCCAGGCTACGGTTGTTTTCGTTGACTACGTGGTTTATTTGAGATAGTGTTGCTGTACTATAGCAGTCAAGAAGGCTAACTGATCCTGTATGAAATACAGAGTGTACAGGGTCTGGGTAGAGAAAGCCGCTGTAAGATGGTTTCCAGGAAACACCGGGTAGATTGAAGTCACCCAGAACGATTATCTCATCAGTTGGTGTCGCACTCTCCATTATGGTGAAAACGGACCGGCAATGGGTATCGATAAGTTCCTTGTCACGAACCCGGTCAGGTGCAATATACACCGCACATAGGTACAGTGTGCGATCGCTCAGTTCTACGGCCACCCAAACTTGTTCCACACAGTTCCACAAGACGTTTTCAATAGCTCTCGCCTTTAACCCGGAACGAACTGCCACGAGAACACCACCTCCAGTAGATTTCCGACTGTTTTTCGGATTTCTGGCACAGCGGAAAACCTCGTATTCGGATCCGAACACCTGGATGGAAAGCGTTCGAGAATCGAGCCAAGTCTCGACAAAAACGATGACATCGTAGCACCGGTCCGATACAGCTAGGTGGTAGTCAAGAACCCCAGAATTCATTCCGCCTACGTTTTGGTAGTAGAAAATGACGTCGTGTTTACTACGGTCGGTGGTCGCACGAGGTAAGGCGTTTTCCCTGGAAGTCATGGAAATATCAGGTGGCGAATGGACATGAACAATCTCAAGTGGATACTCGCCGTAGTGAGTAGGTTGGAAGACCCCCTCTCCACATCCAACCACAGGCCCGGAACGACTATGAAGATCGGAGGCGGCAGATGGCAGGACTGGGTCAGAGGGATTGGGGGCTTCCACAATGCTTTCTACAGCGCGTCCCAGGTTCCAATTAACAGGAGTAGAAGCATTTCCTC